TGGTCTCTTCCTTTCCCTTGTGAACAATCTCTTTCGTTTCCACATCAGGCTGTCCAACCTTCTCCTTTGTCATGGTGCCGACATCCCCAGCAGCCTTTGCAACAGCAGAGAAGGTTCTTGACAAATACGAAGCTCCAGAAGAAACATAAGGATTGCTCATGACAGCAGACACAGCATTACTGGCCTTTGGCCCAGCAACAGCAAGAGCAGACTTCGCCTTTTCAGAAACCTGAAACTTTTCATCCATCTCTCTCACCTTCTCATTCACAATGGCTGTTCCAATGCTAAATTTGTCACTTAAACCCATTTTCTGATCAATGGAAGCAACAGTGGCAGAAGCATTTGAGATCAAGTGATGACGTTCATCAAAGGATTTTGCCCTGTTGAGTGCATCCTTTCCTATAGTTATACCCTTGGCAAACACCAAACTAGCCACATCTTCAGCCTTCTTAAGCACAGCAGCAGATTGCCCTTTATCCTGAAAGAACCATTGTGCGTTAGAAGCTTCATTAAAGGATTACCAGAATTTGATGATAATAGAAATTAAACAAAATATGTAATTCACTGGCTGAGATTCTCCATCAGAGCTGCCCAATCCCACAAATGTGAGGTGTATTTGAGTGCAATAATACTGACTACGACATCCATATATAGTATATCCATTTATGTGCTTTTCAATTTTGTACAGCAATAATATCTGATTGGGACACATCCATAGTACAAAGAAGGAACCTCCTTGTCATACGCGCAAGTTGCTTAGAAGTCATTAGCACAAAGAAACCTCAATTTTGATTAATCATACCCAGACAAAGGTACTGAACACCCAGTAAGTTGCGGCAGTGAAGCAATATGGGTTCAAAATCTAGTTTTACAGAGTCTGCCCATGACAATTCAACATTGCCAAGTCACTGACACTGATAATTTCAGAACCAGAGAAAAACATGTATGGGTATTTAGGCATCTTCATCATATTCAACTACAAAAATGGATCAAGAGTGGCACAGCGAATTATGAGGATACTAAATTGCAGGCAAGATATCTGACTAAGTTTGGGCTTATGATCTGGTACTTACGGGGGTAGAGGGAAGAGCTTCTTGAGGCAGCTGGTAATTCTCAACAAGTGTGATGGAGACGTAAAGATCAGCTATTTTGGCACCCTATTAAAGGTGAAATATATATTAAATATTATTTAAACAAACAACTTAGAGCATTATTTGGTAGCAAATTTATCAATGGAAAAATTTTTGCAAGGAAATATACTGTCAAAAGTGATGCTGTCTCAGCCCCCCGCGACTCCTTAAAAGTAACATAAGCAATCTGGGGGCTCTCATTTTCCCTGCAGAACAATAATATGGTTTTTAGTATTCCCATAATCTTTGAAGGAGAGTAACTGTTGTCTCAACAATATATGAATGTAATGTCCAATATCTATGTTTGGCACAATAGCATTAGGATGCTTGGTTTGATGATGTTGCCCAAGAAAACATAAGGCAAAAGATGAAACCATTTGTATGATAACTCAAACCACCCAAAGCCATGGGAACCTCGTATCCCCACACTTATAGGTTTAAGTTATTAAATGCTAAGTTATCCTTATGAAAACTTTCAAATGGCATAACAAACTCAGAATATTGAAGACTACTACCTTGGTATCGTATCTCATGGTATCCAAAGTATCAAGGAATGTGATATAATGATGTACCAAACGACACTCCCAATAAGAATGCATCATGATATTTATACATATACACACAGCACAGAAGTTCTTACCTTTTCATCTCAACGTGCCTAATATCACCTGAGGATGAAAAGAATTCTCTAACGTCCATCTCAGAAGCAGCCGGTGATAGATTTGTAACCTTAACTGTTTTTACCTGTAACAAGTAAGATAGAGGAATCAGCTTTGGAAATCTTCATTCGAGACATAACCAAAATCAGATCACAAACTCTTTGAAGTTGTCATGAATATAAGGCGCACGCAAGAATTATTTCTCAGGGTAACAAATCTTGAATGTAGCATAGCCAAAAGATACAAAATGTCAATGAAAGTAAACTGAAATTAACCATTTGTTAGAAAGTGAGTCCCTTATGCCTACATGCATTTTAAATTTGAAATCTATAACTACTTTTCCAGCTTTGCTATATCATTGGAGCATTTACACTTTCAATATATGGCATGAAAGTCTAAATTTCACGTTGAAATCCCCACAATCTATTCCTCAAACATGCATATATAGCAAAATATCATAAAGCCAACCAATTTTATCGTATCAACAAAAAGTTTTACTCACATCTGAGATATTGTTTGTCCAATTTGGCGTAGCTGTTGTAGACTGTGGAATCGCTTCAACATGTTGCTCAGTATGGTCTACTGGGGCCTGCGCATAAAATGCTAAATTAGGCGTGACATGAGAAAAAAGTAATGGAAATGAGTCAAGGCAAACGGCCGTAGGAAATTTTTTTCCTTTTCCTCTTTAATAAATAACGCCTTTCGATCCAAATGGACTATGATCGAAGTGCTTCATCAGTGAATATGTATCATGTATTGACTGTAACCTAATAAGCTTGTGAAGGCTTTGCCTTAGACGATGTAAACTTTGAAACTCTAACTTCATCACAGTTAATAAACATAGCAAATAAAGTAAGAATAACGCCACCTCCATCAATGATAAATATATATATATATATATATAATTCATTCATATGACGCGTTAATATATAATTCGAAATCGATCAGAAATAAAATCTTTAACGTAAACACCCTTCCTTTTTGTAGATTCACCAGGTAACTTAGTTTAAGCAACGTAAATGTCAACAATTTTACCTCTGTCGTCACAAACGGGATTAGCAGACGCTGATATATTATTTTGAAAAATAAGGAAATAAGATAATCAAGAGTTTCAAAATCTTTAACAACATCCAATCTATGTAAATATCAAGTAACTACATTTAAAAACCATTCTCTATCGCTCATCATACTCCTTAAATGCACAAGCTGACATTCTAGGTTTTTTTTTTTTTGCATGAGCATTATGATATTATTATATATGAGTATACATTACGCTGAGTGGTTGATCTACAATCTTACACACGACACAAGCGCCACAAATTTGAAAGAAAAAACAATAAGAAGAGCGAAATAAAAGAAAACCATGTTGGATCCGAAAGGAAGCAAGTTTCAGAGGGCAATGAATTCTGCAACTTCAAAATTCAGCAATTAAAAAGAAGAGTGCGCGACCAAGACATCAGATCTAAGCGATCGAAAGCACATCGAAATCGTCAAACTTACCGACATTTTGAGATCATGCAAGGTTCGCAGAAACAACGACGTTCACAGTGGCTGGAAATGACGCCACAGAGAGGAAATGGGAATGTTGGAGAGGAAGAGGGAGAAAGGAGATGGTGATAGTTTTGGAGGAACAAAATGGTGAAGCCGTTCCCAATTTGATCAACACAATATGAAGGTTGGTTAGTTTTGGCCGTTGTTTGTTTGTACGATTTTCCTTTCCGAGATTTCATGGGCTGAGCTCTGGACATTTTTAAGATTTAGGGGAAAAAAATAATTAACATGTGTATTATTTTTTTTTTGGCCGGCATTTAAATGTGTGTTATTATAAACACTATGCTGAGATTACATAAAATTAAAATACACTTTGTGAACGCCCGATTTTATGCATTTTTCATAAATATATTGAAAGAATAATTTAAGCCACCATGTACGAATATCTTTCATAATTTTTTAATTAATAATGAAACTCCTAAATTTTAAATTTACAATGATAGTCCTCCTATTTATTATTTCACTAGTAAATCAGAAATGAAAATTTTAATTAAATTTTATTTTTAAAAAAGACACAAATAGTTTAAACTTGAAGACATATATATATATATATATATAAACAAATACTCCAATTTATTCGGTCTCTCAAATGAAATAACAAAATTAAATTAAATAATATAATAAAAAAGACCGTCATGCAAAGTAAAGCGTATATCCAGTTTCAAAAATATAACTAATGATATAGGCAGTGAATTTATGAAGTTTCCTGGTTTAGCATGGTTTCTCCTAAATTTGCTGCGTGCATGCATGCATGCTTCGAGCGATAATCTGGTTTGTTGTTGGGCTGACTCTATATTGGGCTTCTATGTTTGGTTATTAGCCCATTATAGGATTTGTATTATGGACCAGTAAAGTCGTAAAGAGTAAGACAGTAGGGTGACAAGTCTTTTCTTTATTCTTTTTTTTTCTTAAGAATGGATTAATTATATTAAAAAAATCATTTTTAAGGCCGTTAGAAGTTAGAACCCTGTCCGTTCAAATTTTCAACGATTAAGAATAATGAGGAATTGAGAAGATTAATTACGTATGAATTGATATATATCAACAAGGACCAAAATAAAAATAAGATTTTAGTTTCCTTCATTTCTCGGCAATTTTAAAGAGCAAAAAAAAAAAAAAAAAAAGATGAACATCATATAGAGCTCATTATTCCAGTGTCCCCCGCACCTCCAATGATCCAAATAAAATCCCTCTGTGTTTATCTCTTCGATTTTTCATTTCTTTGGAAAAAAAAGGTAAATATGCAGAGTGAACAGAAATTTAAAAAAAAAAAAAAAAACTCCCATTCGATTGGTGGAATGCAAAAGTAATTCCACCATTCATAGTGCACGAGGCCGTTTTGAAATTAAGCTCCAGTGAATTGATAGTGTATCACAAAAATTTCATATAATTTACGATGAAATCCATCTGAATCATAGTACAGACATCAGGTAAATCGAGTTTCAAGTTCAGACCTGACATCTTCTTTTTCTTTCTTTTCCTTCTCCCAAGTTTCTGTTGTCACTTATTATAAGTGTGTTCAAAAGAACCTCAGTCACAGTTCCCTCAAAACTCAACTATGCAGATCTCTCTCTAAGCTTTAGTGACACGGTCAAAACTGCATGAGCAGCATCTCACCTCATCAAAAGTAAATCTTAGAACAAATTTTGATAAGCAGGATTTACTCCCTCCTTGAAATTATTGTTTTAACACCCCCTGAAAGTTTTAAAACAGAAATAGAGAATCTTCAGAAGTTCAATGAAGAGTAAATCCCTGTTCCAGAGAAAATAGGCAAGGAATAAAGGAGAAGAAATAGTTAGTCACTTACCTTCAACTTCTTCAAATTGGATTTCCTTTGGCAGGTCAGCTGCTGCATGGTATTCAAAACTACAAAGCAATTTAAAACATGCTTTAGTGATGCATTAAAGCTCAGGAAAGCTTCAAGAAAACATGAATGCAAACAACTTCGCTGAATAGGACTTGAGTCACTAAAATGCATACAAAGTCAGCATAAAACAGTTTATTAAACTTGGTAAAAAAAACCACTCGGAAATTACAGCACAGATTTTGATAATTTGATTGTTAAAGTACTAGTTATACAGTAATAATTACAGGAATCAAAGTGCTTGAGAATTTAAAGAAATATGCAGGGGCAAAACCTTGAGTTGTAGTAAGGCATAACTTATATGCAGTAGTAGGGCAAAAACCCCGTCAAGGGGATATCAGAAAGTGCAGTCACACAGAATAAAGATTGGAAGAAAATAAGAAAAATCCTGTTGACATTTTCATGTTCAAATGTAGTTAAGTCACAAACAGCGAGTACAAAACTTACAAATGGAAGAATAAAGTCAATGAGCTGTTCTAGCATGCTTGTACAACAATAAATTTTTAGCATTCTGTAGATTAGATCAGACCAAGCACTTCCACAAGATTCTTCAACATACGACTGAATAGTAACAAGCCAATTGGACCATTGCTATGGCTACTGCTTTCCATATATACTTCAAAACTACATACTTAGAACAGTTTATGTTGAAAGGAAAATGGTAGAAAATCGTTTGAGATGGTTTGAGGAGGTCTTTGGATGTGCTAGTAAAGAGGGCTAAACAAACAGTATGGAGTTCTCTAAAAAAGGATAGAAAAATGTCCCCAAAAAAAAAAACTCAGTGAAGTTATGGAGTAAAATCTTTCAATTAACAACCTATCCAAAAATTTGCTTTGATAAGGTTTAATGGTATTGTTTGATCGATATAGCCAACTCTACCTAGTGGAATAAGGTTCTGTTATTGTTGTATACTTGAATGGTTGACAATAGATCTCTCTCCAACCCTAATGGCTCCTCATGGAAGTAAACGTAGATTTCTGGGACATTAAAAGACAAAAAATTCCATCCTTGCAATAATTTTTCACAATATTCTAAACATGTTCATGTTAAAAAGAGGCACGCACAACTCAAATATACTCTTATTACTTCCTCGAAGCATCCAACAGAGATAATAAAACAAATCACTTTAACATGACCAGAACATTAAAGAGACAAATCATTATTGTTTGCAAACAACAGGTGTCATAAAAGTAACATGTACGAGTTTCATTACCAATTGGAGAAACCCAATTTGAGTTCATGATTAGAAGCCTTCTTGGTAGCTTTAACTAACACAGTCACAATTTCTGTCTTTCGCGTACTAACCATGAGTAGATCATACTCTGTTGGAATTATTATTGCAAAAAAGTTATCACTCAGCGCACTGAGATACATTTTCTCAACAGCTGCAAGGGTAATCCTTCTTCTAAGCGCATCGGACTCTGGGTCAACAATGTAAATGGCAAACTCAGTAATCAACAGAATACGGCGTTTCATCTTCCCTGAGCCTGTTAACCTCAAAACTTTATCTGCAAATAGAACTTGCTCGTCTCCTGTTAAAAGGAAATGGAAAAGAATATAATTCAGGATTTCACGGATTGTTACATCAGATCTTTCTCTCTCCCAGTCCAACCCCTCATTTGATTCCTTTCAAGCACACAAATATTTTCAAATTGCTATATTTGTGCCGTGCATCACTCCCTCTACAATCCCTGTCTCATTCCCTCAGACAAAAGCAGAAACAAAAACTTATTGCTTATCGTAGTTTAAATATGTTATTTCACATGATTCAGTGATTAATGATAATAAATGGTAGATGATGACCACATGAAATCCAAAACCTTTATTAATTTAAATTTCTCAGATCATAACAATAATTTTAGTTGGTCGCTCATATGATTAGTAATTAGCATCACCATCCCGAAACCATAACAATAAACTTCTCGTCGTGGTTGAAAACTTGTAACGTTGTCCTTTTGCAATCAGTTGCAGTCAGCCAAACTCCCAGAGTTTTTAAGGATCGCGTAACTTCAACCAATGCAATACTCAACTGGTGAGATTATGAAGAAGCACTACGAATATCACAAACACTATACTATAGCATGAAGAGATATTCACATGGGCAAATAAATTTGGGAGAATGACTTTTCAGTCAACTGCAAGGGAATTGTTGATGTCTCGGTTCTTTGATACAACGACTCTTTTGAAACTAACAACTACAATATACTGTGTTAATAAATTTTTTTGAAGAGACCAAAATGTTAATAATTTCTTTAGAAGGGCTCAAATGTCATGATCCCAGTATATTTTTCGAAGCAAAGTCTTACATTTAAAAGCACATGCTCAAATCACAAAATAATCCATCCAGTGGCCGGAAGATATATATGGTCTAGAAGCAGCCGCCCAGGTCCAGGATAAACTTGCTTTATTGGCATCCATGCACAAATGGAATAGACGAAAGGGTTATTAAAAGGATTTTGGTGATTTTGGTGATTGTTTTTCCAATTTTCCATGTAATATTTGGATATCTGTTTATTAAACCTCAGTATAAAAATTATCATCAATCCTTGTTTATTTACGGCATCTAGAACACATAAATTTAGAAACTTTATATTCAAACATCTCATGAACAGATTAATATAGCCGTGAAGACTCAGAACTTCGCAACCTACAAATATGATTTCCAAATTACGGAAACGCAAGCAAGGAATAAGCAATTGCATTTAATTAGACCTAACCTTGTTTCTGCAAAATCTTCAATAAGAGCGGGTGAGAAGACATGTCAATGTAGTCCCCTCTATAATCTGGGACAGAGGAGGCCATTCTTCGAAGCTTTAAACCCATGAACGGGTCTTCATCTTCGGTGTAGACGTGGCTATTGGAAGGTTCAAGTCGCGCGGTTGCTTCGCGTTCCTGGGGAATGTTAAGGTGGGGAGGGAAGGGATCATCGGGCACGACGACGCCGTCATTTTTGGGATCAGGCTCGGTTTTGGATTCTGAAATGGGAGCCTGTCTCTTCAACCTGAAACGTTCCATCATCTTGATGCCTTTTCTCGGCTCGGGGACGTCGCAGCAAGCAGCGAGTTTGGCGAAAGCTATTGTGCCATGCAGGCTGTAACTGACTCCCGAGATCGTCTTCAGATTCACAGGCTTCTTCACATTAACATTATTTAAAAAATAAAAAATAACTTTGATAAGTTTATAACGACATTAAATTTTTTTTTCTAATTATTATCATACAATTATGAATATCTAAGTATTCAAATATTCATGAATATCTTCTTCAATTCACACCGCCGAGACAGGGACCAAAATCAACAACAAGCATGGATGTAGCGCAAGACTTTGAAGACGATTATCCGAAGCTATAAAGTGAACTGAAAGGAGCCATACATTCGACAAGAACGCGGACGGCGGCGTTGTGGGCGGCCGGAAGCTCTGATACTTTTTGGACTGAACCTCTGACTGATTTAGTGTATCGATTTTTATTACCCTTCAAAATTTGATGAATCACAGTTCAATCCCTGTAGTATAATTGGAAGGATTACACCGTATGTGACATGTATCGGACGGTCAGACGCAGCGGGCCTCTGGGTTTATCTTTCTCGTCCATTCAGAAGTTTGAGTTTCACTGATTGATAATATGTTTGCCGCAAATTTTCTGGTCAAACATGTGCTGACTTTCTCTGTAGTCACAGCCCATTTATTTCAGTTTCATCTCAGAATCAGTTTAGTTCGCTTTTCCATCTTGTCTTTAGCTTGGTTTGCTTCTGGCTATCTTTTGTGGTTGGTGTTTGTTCTCTTAGGCGTGTGTGGTTCTTTATGGTTTACTAGACGAAACTTCCGGCTTGTGATAATACTTATCTGGCTTTCTGCAGAAATCATTTTCTGATTGTCAACGTTCTTTAGTGTGAGGAAACTGCATGCAGCGAAACTTCAAGCTTTAATCCGATATTATTGACATTCAAAGGGTATCATAAGGGTGGTGCAGAATGTTAAGAATCTGTTCGTTCTATATTTTAGTCGTCCTCAAGAGCTTGATGCTATTTTAGTCAAGGAACGTGGATTTTTCAAGGTTTCTCCCGAGCATTATATGAATGGACTCCTAATACTTTGCTGGGTTCTGCACTTTTTCCCGAAGTTCATGTGTGGATTACACGTACGAGGTAGCAGAGTTTCTTGGTGAAAGGCTAGGCACTTTCATGGAGTTCGACGCGTCTTCCATCACTCGTGCAAATGGCTTGCGTGTCCAAGTTTCGTTGGAGGAGAAAGTATCATTAAATGCGTGCCTCTTAGGATTGGTTATGTTCTGCTTTTTGGTTTGGTTTTCTGGTCATCAACCTCAGAATGTTCGGGCAGAGCTGTTGCTTTGGTTTGCTTCATCTGGCAGCTTGTGGTGCTGCATTTGTCATTGCGGTAAAGACCATCCCGGGTTATCTCCCGAGGGAGCCTTTCTCGAGAAGTCGAATCCGGCTCCTTTCATAAGCTGCCTTTTATTTTGTATTGTTGGGGCCGGCTCATCAATCTGGTGTAATTGAACCTTTTTCTAAACGACCAAATTTAACGAGCTGGCCCTTTTCTTTTACTCTTTTTTTTGGTGAACAAATAATAATAACAGACAACATTAATTTCTTAATTAATAACAACTACAGTAAACCCTAACGTTTACCTGGAATTCAAAATATTGGCAAGGAAAATGAATTTTTTTCCCCTCCATGCACATAAATATCTATTATGCCCACAATATTATTCAGCGATAATTATTTGCTGTTACCTTTTCATTTAAAAAGTGTGCGCGCGCGCGCGCGCGTGTAAGTTTAATGCCTGAACTATCTACAGTTACCCTTTTTATCCATCAAAATAACTTATAAATTGTTGGTATCTCATTGGAAAATTCTCCCACCAGCAATCATGCAACAAAATCTACCATTGGTTTCATTGAAATTTCTATAGCTGCTCCCAAAACCATGAGTCGCGTGTGAAAAGAGAAGCCATGCATACAATTGTATCCCTAATCTCAGATTGAATAGTGTGCTATTAGATATTAATAATTTGACTCTTATTCAATAACTAGCTAAAGTTTAGCTTTCTCATGCCGCTTTATTATCAATTGGCATCAAATTGATAATGACCGATCCCAAAGAAAGAAGGTTTCGGGAGTTTCTGATCACAACTAGGACACAAGCACAATAATGACCATAAAGGTTATCCCAAATCTCACTGCTTGACAATGGAGAAAGAAACGGGGCATCGTTTATGAACCCGATCTGTAAACGGCATTCATCACACAGTGATTCCACGCTTGTATAGAATTTGAAATGAATCTCAATATCCATTATTCTGATATCTCTACAGCCCCTTAAAGGGAATGAAAGGCCAGAGTCCCAAATGGACATATTTCTTTCTGGCCCTGGGTCCACACAAAAAATAATGACTTACAAATTTCAACAGAAACTTGCTGATAGCGAGTAATGTTCCAAGACTTTTCCTCCTTTTGCCTTGTTTTTATAAGAACAGAAAATCTACAGGGATGACGAAGTAACAGAGAGCGCTAAGGTGGATGCAGCATTGAAGAGAAAAAACAGAGCTTCAAATATCTATTCTCCAACTGTCAAACCAAATCCAAATTTGTAGTCTTTTTTCTTGTGATCAAGCTGCAATAAAAACAGAAACTACGTTATGATTAAAAAGAAAAGACCAGAAGGCAGATTCCCACAGGGGTCCTTGAGGAATATACGTTTAAAGAACAAATTAGAATTACACGCGCACATGTGGAAGAAAACAATGTACCCTCACCTCTGCAGAAAGAATAAAATTCAGACCCATGTTTAAACGCTCCTCCAAAAATGCAGAGACACAGCCATTGGAATCAATCTTTCCTCTTAGCCGGCACTATAACAGTCATAACAAAACAAAAAGAGAATCGCCAGAACAGAATCTTACGAGTCAAGACTCAAGCACATTCACAATTTTGTTAAGCAAGAGGCATCTTTACAAGGCACAGCGATCCAGATAAAAGGTGACCTATTGTCATTTGCTCACTTAGACACAAACTTTATTGTTAATATAATCTAAAATTGTGAGCCCATCAGCAGGCATAGTGAGTCAAGCGCATCTGTAAATAATCTCAACTCATTCACACAAACTGGCAGTTAAACTATACTAGTGAAGGTGATGACTGAACAAACACACACAAGCCAAGAAGCTACCTGTCTCAGGATGTAATCATAACCAAAGCTGGCAGTGACATCTCTTGACATGTGGTTATACATGAAGTCAGATGCAAGAGAAACCTGAAGATATATTTTATATAAGAAATAAATTTGGATTGAAAACGATATAATACTGCAACATTATACAATTTACTCACCTTCTGAGATACCTTCTGAACATAGCTTAAAGCAACCAAACCAGTACTAGCAACTTGCCCTGTTGCAACCTGCATGCATATTAGCAAGCATATAGGATTCTCTTAGCATATTAGGCACATTATCCCTTTACTTTTCACAAGAAAAATTAGAGGACAGAAACCTTAGCATGATCTGGTGCAGGAGAGTATGTCTAAAATAGTAACAAATAGGAGTGCGAATTGTCTAATGACTAAAATGGCAAAATGTAAATCAACAAACAAGCAAGCAAGAAATATGTAAGATAAGAAAATACAAAGAATAGGTGGCCGACAATGTCAATAAAGACCATTACTAAATCATCCTACCATTTTATCAGTGTTAAAGTAAGCATCATAATCAACCAAAATATGAATAAATAAACAACTAAGCATAAAAGAAACATGCAAGATGAGAAAGTATAACAAGGGAACACGTGGACTGTAATTAAATGGAGGCACCTATTAATCCATCATACCATTTTATCAGTGTTGTAGCGAGCAGCATAACCAATACCAGACTTCCGATGCTGACCAGCCCAAAACACTTCCCCACCCAAAGATAAATGGGGCGTAACACTCTGTAAAACAGTCATGGCATTCAGCAAAAAGAAATCAATGACCTATACAATTATTGTCCCACGCCATGCATCCAGTAAAGTCAAGAAAGAAATGATCAGGTTTGACCACAATCAACATTAATGCTTGGCAATAGACTAAAATATGACAGCAAAAAGGATAACGCAACATGGAACAGTTAAAAGGAAGAAAAAATAATACAACAGCAATGATAATCTATTCCCTCTGGTCTTAAACATAAGAAACTAATACCTACCTTACACAAACCAATAAAATTGCTTAAAGTTAATAAAACAAATTAAATTTGTAACTTCCAATATACAAAACATTGAGAAGAGGAAATTTACATGACTCACAGGCTGATTCTCAATTGCTTATATTATGATGAGAAAAACTTCTTATTATCAGCGACATCCAAGAAATATTACTGAGCTAAAAAAGAAAAGATTAGATGTCAATTATTGATATTCAAATAGTACACTCCCTCCGGTCTTAAGTATAAGGTTCTCTTAGCTAATTCACAGAGACCAAGAAAAGTTGGTAAGTTGGTTATTTGCAATAACATGTTAAGAATTTGTGACACTTTTTCATAAGCACCCCTTTCATTTAATGATTAAAATTTAAAGCACAGAGATGAAAAAAGCCCCAATCAATAGAGGCATTATGAGAAAGAAAAATTTAATATTGGATACGATGGAGTGGAATCTTATATTTAGGAAGACTAATCCATGGTATAAGAGAAATTTCTCACTCGTTTTCGTTTACTTTTGCCAGAAGTATACAGATGATTCATTCTTATATGCACCAATAAAAAATAAATACATAAGGGGAATACAGACAGGAACCAGTACATAAATTCAATTCAAACGTTAACTCATTTTCAGACAAAGGCAGTCAAATGATATGTCAGATTTCACTCCAAATTACTCCAAATAGTAGCCAAACCCGATCAATTAGCCCCACACATCAAAACACCCAAATAATTTATCATTGCCCCTTCTAGTTATGCAATTTCTTTGCTAGCAGATAGGTGTTTAGAAATCCCCAGAGCAATACACAATATATTACTAAAACTGAAAAAAGAACAAGAGCGAAATCAAAATTGGTGGAGCCCTCATGCATTTGTTTTAAGATCGGCATAGGTCTTAAGAAAGCAGAGCACTAACACAAAAATATTTCCAAAAAGGAAAACAAAAAGTATTAAAACTATATTGCAAATTGAAAGAAGACCCTGCACCTGAATATAACTGGCTCCAAACAGAGCTCCATTCCCAAGTTGCAATTGCGTCCGATAGTCTGTACCCTGCAAAAGAAGTATGATATAACATGGAAAAAAAAACCCCAAAGGCGTCAACAACTGCTTGGACAGATTAGTTTTTCAAAGCAACCATCTAGATTCTCCAATACAGTATGTAAAACAAAGGAGGGGATGATTTGATTTTGAAGAGAGGAGCATTGCAAAAATCAAAACAGCTGTTGGAGTTCATCTTAAAAAGCACGGTCCCAAAAAGCATGGCATGAATAATTTACCTTATAATCGAAGTTGAACATTCCATGAGACATATGTGGCTCATTCGTAAGCTGTACAGACGAATATGCCAAGTAAAGCAGAAGGGGTTATTACACAGTACATCAGAGTGTTAGCACAACTTTGAGGATGCAAAACTGTAGAGAAATTCGATACCACATGATTTTCCATAATTATACCTGAGCATTTGCCTTCAATGTGAGATTTTCCGTCAAATCACACTTTACTCTCGCGTTTAGCCTCCCATCAGTAAGCAGTCTTCCAAAGAGCATCAGCTACAGACATTCGATGAGATCACGTTGTGAACAGAAATGACCACGAGCCAATTTTAATCAAGGGTAACTTACCTTAGGATCGAGGAAGTTTGCACCAAATTCATAGTGAGCAGTAGGGATTTTAATGGTCTCCGTGGACTGAGAAGGAATCTCAGTAGGTCCCATAAACACACTGATTAGAAAACAACATTAATTAACTAAATAAGTAAACACGCGTAATTCAAGAAACACAAAACTGAAACGAAATGCTTACCTGTGACTGAGGGCGAATTTCTGATTGAGCCCCTTGGTGAAATCAAAGCGCATTCCCTCAAAAAGTTCAGGTTTCAATGACACTGCAACAAGGATTCAGAAAAGGGTTTCATCAACAGAAAACATATCTGAACTAAGCTTTCTTCGTCATCCCGTGACGAAACGCATACAAAATGGCAAATAACCAATTTCATCAACAATGTTTAACATAATAATCAGCAAATAAGAACAACAATAAAATTGAAGAGTAAAAAAGACTGACTGAGAGCTTCACGGTGGATTTCCTCGTAGGGAATTGGACATGGAAGGTTCAAGTAATCCACTTTCTCTTCCACCTCCTTGTTGGGTGTAGCTTCAGTCACAGTACCGGGAATTGGGGGAGCAATGGCCGCCATTGTTCGCAGAATCAGAGCAGAACAAATCAGACCTGGAAGAAGCAGCGCTTGACCCTCAAATCCCTCGCTGTAAGCTGAGAAACCGAAGATGCCTAAAACCCAAACACTCGTAGCAGTCTTCTCAATCTAAAACCCTAGCGTTATTAACCCCACAAACAGTTTGACCGAATGCTCTGCCATTGCCAATGAAATGTAAACACTTCATTAGCTAAAACCATTGTACAATGTACAAAATAACTACATGACAATTGTTTTGTCTGGATGTATATAAAAATACTTTTAAAATGCTCTCTTAATAAATGTAGACATATATAATTGCATAACATGTAATTTTCGAATTGCAGTAAATAAACATGTCCTAATATTTGATCATTTAAATCTATATCCTAGTCATTGCCCGTATTATCATCTACAAGTGAAATATATTTGAATTCTGAGTTAATAAAAACTTATGTGGTGGACTTGGAATTGCTAATTCAATACCATATCAATATCTTTATCTGTATCACTTAGGATAAATATTTACCAATGTTGGCCCAAAAAAAAAAATACTGCCTCTGGTCCTTAATATTACCTCCGGTCCTAATTATAAGAGCCAGTTGACTAATTTGAGAAGATTAAGAAAGTAAGTTGAGTTAGTTATTTATCCTAAATAGGTGTTGTCTTTCCTAAAATATCCTTGCTAATCAAGTGTATTGACTAGAACTATCATTATTAGAAGGGCTACTTTGAAAAAAAAATATATAAATATGAAAGACAAAATGGATTAGGGTCTTATATTTAAGACCAAAATAAAAGTCAAACAGAGTCTTATATTAAGGACCGGAGGTAGTATATGACTTCGTTTAATTTTATTTTGGTCCTAAATATAAGACCCTAATCCACTTTTTCTCTCATATTTATGTTTTTTTTCCAAAGAAAT